TAAGTATAACATCAGCAAGGGATCTAGTGCCACTATACTATCGCAAATGGCGCAAGTTGAAGGCTCAATCGTCAAATGGGACGAAGCAGAAATTATTAAATCGGTACATTCACCGACATTGGCGAATTGCGCAGAAAAAATTGAAATATATAAAAGCAAATTGCATGATTCATGCATCAATTCTAGAGATTCTGAAGGGTTGCCTTCGGCCTGGAAATACTTTATCAAACGATTGGACAAATCTTAATTTATTGCGGCGATTTTAATATTTTTTCGCATAAAGTGCATTTCACTGAATTTCTATATAACGTTTTAATATTTAGTTAACCTATGCTTATTTTTTCGTATACATTTTTTGTTATTTGTAACAATAATTTTTATTTATTTTATTAGTCTGTATACATTTATATATATATTTCGCTCGTTATTTTATTTTATTTGTATTTAAATTTTTGTTCTATTTTATTTATATTCGAATGTTCTTAGCCTGACGATGGCCAACTGATTTGGCTGAAAACGTTAGCTTTACATTAAATTTTTTCTCAGCAAATTAAGGTGTTTTGTTTTTTGATTAAAATCAAAATATATCAAAGCATAAAATATCAAATTTCATATAGTTTACTGACATATATAAGAAATATTTCTGAAGAAATTAACCAGAGAATGTAAGAATTTCTATCTTTAAATATGATATAAGAAAAATCATATCATTTATAAAATATAGTTTATCTGAACAGTTTTTGTATTACTTTTAAATTAATTACTTTTGAAATATTTATTATTTAAACATTTTACTTTTATAATAATTTATAATAATAAATTTTTGTACAGTTTTATAAATTTGATATTTTAAAATTTAATTTTTACATTTTATCATTGTTTATACAGTAGAGCATCAGTTATCCGAAAGAATTTGGGACTGGGATTGTTTGGATAACTGATCATGTATGAAAAAATATATTAACCTATCCCATGTTGAATTTACTGACTGTAGCTGTATATTCGTTCAGTGAATGGTTGTCTCTTTAATCCAAAAATATTTCTCTCGGTAGACTATCTTACAGCAAGTACTACTTGCTGTAAGATAGTCTACT